CTGAAATTCCAATTGGTTTTTCCAAATTTCATGAATTAAAACCATCTTTTGTCGAAGGATTTAAACATATTCCTCAAGAAGTTTGCATATGCAGACTTCGCACTCTTCTACTAAAAGCTACTATTTGCCACTTTTTTGATACGAGGCTACTTTTTGGCTACTTTTTTGAGCCTAATGCTACTAAAAGCTACTTTTCTGAACAAATAGTCAAATTTAGATTTTTAGTTTTCACATTTCCATTTGTTACGTCACCGTTACCTATTTTCAATAATGTTAATAATAATATGTAAAATAATAATAAATAATAATTATAATAATTAATAATAATTAATAATAATAATTACAATAATTAATAATAACAATTATAATAATTAATAATAATAGTAATAATAGTAATCATAATTATTTAACATATTATTATAATAAATAAATATAACAAATAATAAACGACAATAAATTATAACAAATAACAATAATAAACCACAATAAATTGTAAGAATAAACATTAGAAATAATAACAAATTATAATAAACAGATAGTTATAACAATTTTAAACAACAACTTTTAACAAATAACAATAAACAATAATAAACATAAACATTGTAATAATAAATATTAACAGTAATAATAGAGTTATAATAACTAGGAATTAATACTGACTTTAATTGTAAACAATTATAATCAACAAATAATACAACAAATTATAAACAATTAATGGAAATAACAAAATTATAAAATAACATATGAGTAATGAGCAATGGACACGTGCGATCTAATGGTGAGTCACCACAAGTGTTCCTGCAACAAAGGGTTTCTCCAAATGCATGGAAAAGCGAACGATTCTCCAAATGCATGGCAAAGTGAACGATTCTCCAAATGTATGGCAAAGCGAACGATTCTTCAAATACATGGCAAAACGTACAGTTTCTTCAAATACACAGGGAAATTTGGGTATAAGAAGAGCCAGACCATCAACAGCAGTTCAGTCTAAGAAATCAGTCTAAGAAAAAGAAAATGTAGTCGTCAATATTATAAGTCTCAAATTGAGAAGTGGTGCTATGCACAAGTCAGTCTTAAAATTTTATCTATAACAAGTTGTTCTTCACGACACAGTGCTCTAAACCCAGTTTCAGTAGTTGTCCTTTACTCTACGTATATTTCAAAAGTGCATTTTGGAAAGTCAATCTGGAAGTCAAATTTGCCATTTGAAAAGAGTGTTCTTGTTTCTCGAGACACAATACTGCATCCACTTAGTCAACCATTAACGGACTAGTACCATTATACCTGAGCGACTAGCATCACCCAAGGGTAACAATCAACCACTCTAAGACTCACATTAGAAAGCCTATGTCCATCTCTTATTTTCATCAATTTTATCTTATTTCATAAAATACACATATATTTGTTCAACTAAAGTAATTTCTTGTTATTTACTACCCCGTCCCTATTTTAATTAATTTTAAAATAAAATCGGGAAACATTAGGGAAATTATAATAATTAGGATCGTAACACATTTAACAACAGTGTTAAAATCTAAAATCGTTAATGAAAAACGACATAATAATAATTGTCATAATTTTTATCATAATTTTTCCCGGTTTTATTTTCTCATCAAATTTAAATTTAATTGATTTCTAACATAAATGAATCTACAAATGGTTTCAAAAATTTGTATTAGATTTTTTATGGATAGTTAAATTGTTTTGACGAGTTTCTTTAAATTTTTTGCCAATAATTTTTTTTAATAATTTTAATTAAAAATTTAAAAAATAATTGAATTAAACAAAGAATTTTTTCAAAAAAAATCTTGTCTGTTCATAATTATAATTGATAATTTGATTAATTCAATTTCATTTAAATTTTTGAAAATAATTGAATTGTAGAGAACAATTTAATTACTTATAAAGACAATTGAAATTTCGAGGAGAATTGCAAAAAATTTTTAAACATAATTGAATTTCTGCGTAGAATTTTATTACTTTTGAAAATAATTGAATTCTTTTTTTCCAATTTTATGGAAATTTATGAAAATTGAATTCTTGTGAAGAATATTTTTCAAAAATAATATTTAAAAGAATTTATACAACTCAGGCGTATTATGGTCACTTTATCTACCTGTACAGGCGCGTACTAAGTTCCCCCTTATAACACAGCAGTCCAATAAAGTAACCATTATAGCCCTAGGGAGATAAAGGGTATATTATTGACCGGTCCCAGGTCAATACTTTATTTATTGACCAGCTGGGTTGTATGGGAGAACTTAACATGCACCGGTACAGGTAGCATAGAGTAACCATAATACGCCTTTGTTGTATAAAGCAAAGTACATAAACTCGGACGTACCTCCTTTGTTGCATAATGTACTATTAGTAAATCTGAAAACTTTTGCTATTTATGAAAATAATTGAAATAATTGAATTCTTTCGACAAATTTTAATCAAGTTTTTAAAAATAATTGCATTTTTCGACGAATTTGATTAAAATTGTATTAAACATAATTTTATTTCTGCAATGAGTTTTATTATTTATGAAAGTAATTGAATTATTTATTTATTTTATTTATTTATTTATGAAAGTTTCTAGAGCTAAATAGCTCACAAAGAAACAATTTAATTGATACCATTATATTTATAGTAAAAAAGGTGTTATATACTACTACTAAATATACATTGGCAAGTATAAAATTTAATTTACAACGTACATTGACAGTAAGTAGTATATTATAAACTAACAAATAATCAAATTAAGCGTATGATACTAACATCAATTTAATTAAGAAGAGAGTTAAGTGTTACTACTATTGTAATTGAGAACGAATAATTCCAGAATGATTAATCATTTATGTAAAATCTAGTTACTAAAACTATTAATAACAAAAATACCTATGATACACAAATAAAGCAATCCATTAAATGAAATAATATCTAATTTACCAATATGTTATATTAAATAATTGATTCTCGCAATTAAAAAGAAAATTGAAGAAAAGTTTCTTAAATACAAAATGAGTCGACGAGTCTCTAATTTCAATTGGTAGCTTGTTCCATAATCTCGCACCTCTGATAATAAATAATCTTTGCATTATACAAGTACAATGAGAAGGAATGTTTAAAACCCGATTACGTTCTCGAAGCCTAATACTCGATGTTTCTTTTTGATATTTAAAATCAAAAAGTTCATATAAATATGTTGGACACTGATTATGAAAAATTGAAAATAGTAAAGATCCAAGAAAATATTGTCTCCTACTTGCAACACTTAATAGCCTGGTCTCAATTGCGAGAATTTTATAAAAAAGGTTTAAATTATTGATTTAAAAAAAATCTAGATAAACCCTATTTTTAATAATTTAATTCCTACGAAATTTTTATTCTTTTAGAAAATAATTGAATATTTGTGTAGAATTTTGTCAAAATTGTTTTTAAGTAATTGAATTTTTGTGGTTAATATAAATGAATTCTTGTTATTTATAGAAATAATTGAACTTTTACAATTAATTTTATTAAAATTCCTGAAAGTAATTTAGTTTTGTCGAAGTTTTACTATTTATGGAAATAATTGAATGTATTGCGAATAAATTATTAAAAATAAAATTATAATTATACGGTGACTAACTTCCCTTGATTATTTTCGAAAAATTTAAATAAAATTCTTTAAAGGAAGTAAATTATTTGTAATAGAATGTAAAGAAATTTCAATTACATTAAAAATTTTCAATTATTTGTTTATAAAAATTAAATTATCTTGAAATAACAGAATTAAAAAATCTTATTTTTTCAAATTTTCAAAAAAAACTTTCCGAAAATTCAATTGTATTAAAAATTTGAAGTGTGTATCTTTTTTTAAATTAACTCTTAAAAATTTTAATTATTAATCTTCGCACTTAGAAACAAATCGCATTTTTGTAACAGCCATTTCTCTTACAAAAATTAACATTTTTACACTTTCTCTACAAAAATGGAAAATTAGAGTTTCAAAGTGTCAAAAAAAATTATTTTTGGCTGTGTATAAAAAGCAATTAGTAAAATCCTTAATATGAAACGAGTAGATATTCAAATTAGGTAAAAAAAGACATTCTTATTTATATTGCCATTAGAGAAAGAGAGAAACCAGAGCCGACGTTACTGGCGCCGTTACCCAGACGTTACCTTTTGTGTTTCAATTATAAAAGTATATATATATATAACCGCTTATACAAGCCCAAAAACTACGCTTGCCGTGCGTTACCAAGCCCAAATGGACGTTATCAGACCCGGCCGCGGGTCTGGTAACGTTTTTTCATGTATTCTTGCATACAATGCATACATAAATACCCTGACAAAATTTAAGCAGGTGCTTAAATGTAAGCATTTGGTGGTCAAACGTCAATTTATACACGTTTATAGTTCCTGATGTTGAACCAAGGCGCCGCTACCATCGATATACAATTTTTGTATATGACAATAAACGACGCGGACACGTGACTCCAACGTTACCAGACCCGTCATTTGGCAACGGTGTAAAAAGCTAAGCATCTGACGAGAATTCTGTTTTTTAAAGATCATTTAGTAACAACCTGTCTTTAACTTTCGAGCCACTGAACATTTTTATTTATGCGGAGTACCGATGTCTATCGAGAATAGACAAAATGTTTTTTATTACATTTTGCAAAGATGACTCGGATTTAACAAAAATTTAACTGATAATGTAGTAGGTCAAAAATTTACTACTGTTACATTGAATTTCTTATTTGTTTTAGTAATATAATATTGTTAATTTATATTACTTTTAAATATACGTATCAAGAGAGTTACAATTTCTATAAACATGTTTTTTCTAATAACTGCAAACTACTATGTAATTTTATAAATTAAAAAGTAGATTGAGTTATAATTATTATAACTATTATTCAAAATTGTTTAACTATATAATTATTAATATTAAACATTTTTTTATATATTAACTAAAAAATGCAGTTTTTTTCTTATTCTGCAATTTATTTAACATATTTTTTTGTGCCTCCACAAATAAGATTTTGCAAAGTATCCTAAACAGTAAACACATACAAAATATTCATCTGCATTCACTTTGTTGTCTTGAAACTTTCCGTAAGTCTTATTTGGTAAACGGACAGGCTTCAATTCATTAGTTTGCTGCAAAAGTACAAAATTTCCTTTTTTCCGTAAAGCCAAGAAGGCATCTCGCCTCTCTTTGGATCCTACTTTAAGAGTTAAAATTTTCTTAACAGTTTCTTCATCTCCGTGTTTTCTATTCAAATGTCTTGCGAAATGTCCCACCTCCTCGAAGCAATAAGGACAACAAACAACATTATCCAGTTTTCCGTTGACATTCACAGGTTGCTAAAAATTGATATAGAATTAAAAATGATTAACATTACATTTAACATTAAAAACTATTTTTATTAATAAATTATATTGTCATGTATTTTCATTTCTAATCAACAGAATTTCTATGGAATTCATACCTTATCAACACTTCTGACAGGATCAATCTCGGGTAACTCTAAATGCTCTGTTGGTTTGTTAATTTCATCAGTCTCGCTATTATCGCTGGACGTTTTCTCTTCACTGTCTACAGAAGGCGAGTATTCACTGCCTGAAGATAAATTTTCTAAAGATTCAAGTGTGTGGTCGCCGACAGTGACTGTTTATATTTGTTTGACAGCTCAAATTTTTTGAAATTAACTCATTTTCAAGTGCTTGTATATCGGTAACGTTAGTGTAAAAATAGTCCGAAATATTTTGCCCATTTTCATTTCCTGAGAACAGCTCTATGTCAGGTTTCTGTAAGTTGGTAACACTAGTATCAAAAAATTCCACATTATAATTTTCATTTATATTTGTTGAAGACCCTAAAATATTAGGTTCTTTTTTATCATGAAATTTAGTATCTAAAATTAATTTTATTCTTAAAAATATTAATTTTTAATACAATTTTAAATGATTTATTTATAAAATGTTAATAAATTTTTTTTGTCCAACGCCTTCGTGGAAATAGAACTATTGTACGCTAGGCACCAATGGAGGAATGTAGTACATTTCCCCACTGGTGGTTTGGCCAGTGGAGAAATGAAGTCATTTCCCCACTGGTGGTGGAATGAGAAATTGACTAATCGATTTTTTATTTTATATTAGAATTAGAACATTTTAGGAACAGAATTTTGAGGACACTCTGGGGATCTTTAGAGACACTTTCAAAACATTCATTTTTGAAAAAAAATTTTCCAAAATTTTTTTTCAAATTTTTTTTTCTATTTTTAGATTTTTTTCAAAATTTTTATCAAAATTAGATTTTGTTTTACTCTCAGTTATTGCTATAATATCATTGTAATATTTTGATTTCGATAAATAACGAGTAAAGTCAACTTAAAATTTTGAAAAATTAATAGTTTAAATTTATTATTTATAAAAAAAATTTTTTGCAGTTGTTGGACAAAATAGTATGTCCAACTTGTGGAGAACAGCGATTTTCGCTCGCTCGATTGCTGCGCGCGCTACGCTTGCGCAGCAAACTTCGAGCTCGCGAGAAATCGACCTTGTTCTCCACTCGTTGCACAATCTACTATTCTTTAGGCGTCATTAAAAATTTAGAAATTGTTTTATATTCTTTACACACTTGTGTGTATAAAATTGTTGAGCAGAAAAATGAGACTCAATAAGAAATTAGTTAATTAACAATATTTTCTTAATTTTGTAATAATTAATTAGTCAATAATTAATATTCTTTATGGATAACAATAAACATTTATAACATTAAACTTTGTAATCTCCTTATACGTACTTATTGTTTATAAATAATAATAATTATTTTTCAAAATTTGATAAATTAATATTTATTTATTATTAATTAACTTATTTCTAATTAAGTCTCATTTTTTTCTCAACCGTTTTATACACATGCATGTATGTAAAATTGAAAACAATTTTTAAATTATCAATAAGACATGAAGGACACATTTTTTATCGACATTTTATAAATAAACATTTCAAATAACTATTAAGAATGGAAAAGTTTTAAAAACAAAAATTGTTTTTAGATACTATATTCCAAGACAATACAGAGACCTTTTTTATATTTAAATTTTTATTTACTCTAAGTAACAATCGAATAATTTAAAACAAATAAATAGGCAAGGAGGCTAAAAAGAAACATATTTTTATTTAATTCAAGACAATTAATATTTATTTCAAATAAAATATTTATCTTGGTGCGTATATGCAGTTGATATTTTGTTAATAAATAATTGACATTGACATTCGTTGTAGGAAAATTTTTGAAAGTTACGTTTCAACAAATTCAATTTATGTCTAAGGACAAAAGGTGGTTTACTACCTGATTTTGACCAACCTGTCTGCACTTGTGTTCGCACTTGAACAAAAGACACTATCCCTTAAATGCTTTGAAAAAGTTTCGCAATAATTATTTAAGTCCCCTGACTATCTATCTATCTAGACAATTTTGTTACAATGTTTTTGCAATATTCATTTACCTATTTGTTTAGAATCTAAACAATATTTATTTATATAATATTATTTAAAATTTGTAGTCTTTTTCTTATTAATAATATTTTCAAAGTATATTCTGTAATTGTTAAAGTATTAACTACTTATTTTATTTTTTAAATTAAATTTACGGAATGATATTTTTTTAATTCTTATCAACATTTACCTCAGATAAATTTTCACTTGTATTTTTTGGATTAATGCCAGAATCTGAACCCACTGATGGAGAAATATGAGAAGCACTTTTCTCACTTTCTACGAACTCATATGGATCATAAACCTCTTTCTCAACAGAAGGAGATGCAGATCCATTCCTTGATGATATATAATTGTCGTCTATGAAAAAACATTTATTATCATATTTTTTATTATAACTTTACAATAGTTTGATAGTGAAAATTAAAGAGAAATGATTTTTTAATAGATGATTTTTAACAGTTCTGTAAAAGAGTATCGCATTAAACTTTACAAAAATTTTACTTCATAATAAATTTTCTTAAAAAAATTTGTCGTACTATTTAACACTATGCAATTTAAAAATATCAATAACATTACAGATTAAAAATGATTTAAAATGTAAATAAATCTTGTGGACATAAAGTTATTAAAATATTCACTACTAATAGCTAAATTAATCTAAATTTTCAACTCGTCTTTCCTGCTAATATACTACATTCTGGTTTTAGTCATTTACATTAATTTTTTATTGACATTTTTAAAGTTTGCATTTTTTGAGAAACTCACTTTCTATAAAGAAATAATTACACAGGTCAACAAAAAAAGACTTACTTTTTTTTTATGAGATAGCGGAATGGTTTCCTATGTATTTTTGGACGCTGAACACGATCCCGACTTCCAAAATTGCCCATCACGTCAGGATTTTGAGAAAAGTGGGGGTAAAGACCCCAAAAACGCTTTTTTGAGAAATTTCAACATTTATTTTCTCTTTAACCTGACGTGCTAGAGACTTCCACAAGGTCTTAAATTAAAGCTTATAATGTGCACTAAAAGACCAATATCCATAAAATAAAAAAAAATAAAATTTTTTTTCAAAAAATGGGATTGAAGACACCAAAAATTTGTGTTTTTGGATTGCTTTAATAGACTTTTTGCAATTGCTTGGATTCGCATGAAAATGGTTACTTGGGGTTTTTGGGGTCACTGATTACGAATCCGATATTAGTTTGCAAAAATTAAAAATGGCGGATTCGTAATCAGCGACCCCAAAAACCCTGAAATAACAATTTTCAAGCGAATCCAAGCAATTCTTAATTTTTACATCTGCCATCTTGGTTTCGCCGTTTTAAATTTTTGCAAACAAATATTGGATTCGTAATCAGCGACCCCAAAAACCCCAAGTACCCATTTTCAAGCGAATCCAAGCGATTGCAAGAAGTCTATTAAAGCAATCCAAAAACACAAATTTTTGGTGTCTTCAACCCCATTTTTTGAAAAAAATTTTAATTTTTTTTTATTTTATGGATATTGGTCTTGTAGTGCACATTACAAACTTTAATTTAAGACCTTGTGGAAGTCTCTAGCACGTCAGGTTAAAGAGAAAAGAAATGTTGAAAATCCTCAAAAAAGCGTTTTTGGGGTCTTTACCCCCACTTTTCTCAAAATCCTGACGTGATGGGCAAATTTGGAAGTCGGGATCGTGTTCAGCGTCCAAAAATACATAGGAAACCATTCCGCTATCTCATAAAAAAAAAGTAAGTCTTTTTTTGTTGACCTGTGTTATCTACATTTACGTGTCATTGTAAAATTTCTGGCAAAAATATTTGAAAAAAATTCTTAATTTTGTATTCAGATATTTTTTAAAATTGATTAGAATTTTACAATAAGATTTTGGCGAAATTTAAGAAATACGAAAGTAGTCTTATTATACCGGGTATCTTAAGTTGAAGTATACATTTTTGTAGCACTTGTACTCAAACAAAGAATAATAAAGTCCTTCAAAGCCAAGCATTTTTGCAATATTTTTAATAATATATTTCAGAAAAATTTGAAAATATTTTTAAAAATTACACAGGACTTTTCTTTTTTTGATAAAAACAAATGCCCCAAACTTGTCTACTTTTAGTGGGATACGTATATACTATCAAAGATTTATATATATATATGTTAGGCTCAAAGACCGAAAACGCTCATTGAGCGAAAATCTCGACCACAACGCGTTGTGGCTCCTTCAATTTGTCCACAACGCGAAATTCGTGTTGTGGCATGACAAAAAAAGTCCAAAACGCGTTGTGGAAATTTGAAAAGGGCCACAACGCGAAATTCGCTTTATGGCTACTATGATTTTTAGCCACAACGCATTGTGGTAATTAAGAAATGCCACAACGCGTTCTGGCTTCTTTTACATTTGACCACAACGCGTTTTGGTAATTAAGAAATGATACGGAATAAATTAATGTACAATTTTTTTTGCAAATGACATATAATTTTATTTACACAAATGTAAATCTCTTATTCTTAAGAATTTATTTATTTTTACAGGAACTATTATTGTGACACTTTGAATTACACTTAATATTTTTTAAACGACACTTGCACCTTTTATCAATGCAATATCTCTTACAAAGACAAAAGATAAAACCTTGCTTACTTCCAGATGCAAGCATCAAGGCAGAACGAAGAGTTATTGAAGTGGAGGGTACGTCTACAATGTTAATAAAATTATTGTCAGCAATTACAAATTCATTTCGGGCATATAATCGGTCAATGGTACCCTCTTTTGTTCCTAATTGATAAAGACCTAATGAATTTTTTGTCAAAACTACAGCTAAAACATTTCGAGGTGCAGCACGTCCTCTGTCAACATCCGGTACCCTAATTGCAACGTTCGTACCAATATCTACGTCCGAAAATTTTAAATTGGATGCTGCAATCATTTTCTTGGCCTGCTTCTCTTGTCCTATTTTGGCACATTCCCTCTGAGTATCGATATTTTTTTTCCTAAGGCAGATTTTGCAAATAACATTTGCACCGAAGCCCTCATCGTTTTCTGAACTTTCTCCGCATATGACGTGGACATATTTATTACAATCAGAGCACTTATGAGCTGCAGAGGTCTCTTTTTCGCAAATCACGCAAATGTTACTATAATTTACATCCCCATCTTCATTTTCTAAATTGTCTGGAACTTCCTCATGTCGATTTTCGTCCGGAGTATTTTGTTGGTCATTGTTATTTATCGAAGAAAAAAGTTGTTCCAGTTCTTCTTCTGTTTCGATAGACGCGTACATTTCAGTTGGAAGAGGCGAATCTGCTAGACCTATTTTTTGTGGTGACCCGAACATAGCCTCGTAGGGACTTGTTTTCATTACAGCATGTAGAGAACGGTTTTTTTTGCTCTGTATAAAACGCAGTCCTTCTGACCACTGAGAAGAAGAATTATCTGCCATCCATGCCACCAACATATCACGAACATCTTGATTGGACCTTTCAACCGAACCTTGACTTTGAGAATGTCTTGGTTTACCATGCACAAGCTTCATCCCAGGCCACATGGATACTAAATTTGTAATAATTTTATTACAAAATTCACGACCATTGTCGCTTTGCAAAATAAACGGTGCACCTAGTACGCAAAATATGTCCATGAGTTGGTAAGCCACTTCTTCTGCAGTTTTTGTTTTAAGAGGGCGAAGAATTGTGAATTTAGTTAAGTGGTCTTGGTAATTCATTATGAATCGATATTCTTTATCTGGTTCAGATTGCATGTCAATTAGATCAACCTGACATCTGGAGTTCATGCAATCAGAAAGAATTGGTCTAACTACCAAACCACTTTTTGGAATTTTCTTTTTTAACTGGCATTGCTCACATAAACTCAAGTATAAATTAATAATATCTCGAGTAACATTGCAGTACTTCTTTTTTAGTTCAGCTTCCATAACTAAAAAAATATTACATTTCGTTAAAAAAAATTTATTATTTTAATTGTCAATTTAATAATAATATTTAATTTTAGTTTGTTTAGTATTTTTATTATTATTTACTTTTGTACAATTTCCTTATTTTCTTTATTTATTTTTATATATTTTATTTTATTAATAATTATTACACATTATTTAATCATTAGAAAATAAAAAATAATATTTATTTATTTTATTTAATTTTAGTTTGCTTAGTATTTTTATTATTATTTACTTTTGTACAATTTCCTTATTTTCTTTATTTATTTTTATATTTTATTTTATTAGTAATTATTACACATTATTTAATCATTAGAAAATAAAAAATAATATTTATTTATTTTATTTAATTTTAGTTTGTTTAGTATTTTTATTATTATTTACTTTTGTACAATTTCCTTATTTTCTTTATTTATTTTTATATTTTATTTTATTAATAATTATTACACATTATTTAATCATTAGAAAATAAAAAATAATATGACAGACGAATTAATATTTTATTTTTTACGTGAATTTAAAATTAATCTGAGTTAAGATTATATTACACAGAAACTTTTGCGACATTACATATATTAAATTGACAATTGAATAGTGATAATACACACTTAATAATAAATATTCTATTCACCTCTTGTTCTTTTGTGTCCGACGTTCAAATGAGTTGTTTGCAAAATGTCAAAAAGTTCGCCTGCCTTGCAAAAATATCGTATTTTCGAATCATTCAAACTAGCAGATCTACTTTCAATCAGTTTCTCGGTGTCGCCAATTTTTAAAACGTCATATCGCTTAAGACGACGATATTGTTTTGATGAAAGAGACATTTTATTTTTTTTAAGAAACAAAGCATCGTTCACTTCCTGAAGCAATAATTTGTAGCCTTCGTCATTAATAAAAATAGATCGTTCCGTGGTATTCTCCATTAATTCATTCAATTTCTCAAAAAATATCGCTTTTTTATTTTCCATTATGAGTTATTAAAATATAATTTTTAAAATTCTGCACAGCTTGATAAATTGTGTAAATGTCACAGTACAAATGTTACACTCAGACTAAAAATATTTTGAATAAAATCTACGTTAGCAATAACCGACGTGAAAATTTACTACTATTACAATTTATTGAATAAAGAAAAGTTTATAGGTATTGCAATTGTAGACAGACGCCTTTAACAATTAGCGTACACCTTGTTTACAATCTACGAAATGTGTTATGATTTTTCTTAATTACCAAAACGCGTTGTGGTTAAATGTAAAAGAAGCCAGAACGCGTTGTGGCATTTCTTAATTACCACAATGCGTTGTGGATATAAATCATAGTAGCCATAAAGCGAATTTCGCGTTGTGGCCCTTTTTAAATTTCCACAACGCGTTTTGGACTTTTTTTGTCATGCCACAACACGAATTTCGCGTTGTGGACAAATTGAAGGAGCCACAACGCGTTGTGGTCGAGATTTTCGCTCAATGAGCGTTTTCGGTCTTTGAGCCTAACATATATATCTTTTCTTACTCTTGTATTTATTCTATAGTCTAGCAACAATTCGCGCGCTGCAGCGTGCGGCTAACTTGGGTGCTTTTTTCCAATGTAAATAAAATAAGCAATTTTAAAAAATAGATCTTAAAAATTTTTCATTCAAATTTTTTTTATAGAAATAAAAAATATGAATTGAAATATTATTACTACAATAATCATTTATTCTAAGACAGGGAATACAAGGAAAAGTCAGATATATTTGTATTAAAAGTACTGAAAAAATAAAGTTGTAGGATGCGATTTCAATTGTTTTTGATGTATCTAAACTTGATTTTGTTAACCTAGGCAGGAAACAAAAATTTGACAGTAAAATGGCATGTTTTTTTAAACCGAAAGTAGAATAGTATATTTTCAAAAACTGACCAGAATTGGCGTCATTCTTCCTTCGATTGACGAATTTACGTCAAAAGAAGGAAGGTGTCTTATTACCTGATTTTGACCATTGTGTCTACACGGAAAAAAAAATCAGCCTAATAATGCATGGAGTCTATTGGTTCGATTTTTACATGAGCCCATTTTGCAAATATCACACAGGAGTTTACTAAAAATGCATGGCTTTTGTGACTTTTGCCACAGCACCATGCGAAAATAGGATGGATTCTAAGCTAATCACGCATGGTAGTGTGCGTGCAATATACACAACAGACGCTCATGTGTTTTTAGCCTAGTATTTTTTTCCGTGTAGACTGGTTTTCTCCTTTCAACAATAGCCATTATATCTTAATCGCTTTCATAACTTTTCGAATCTGATCACCATTTGCAATGTGCTTTGTAATATTTACGTATTTGTTTAGAATTTAATTTTTAATATTTTTACGTATATTTTTATTTTAATAATATATTTACTGTATTTATTTAAAATATTATAAATTTTGTTTCTATTGTTGTTAAAATATTTCTGCTTTTAAACAATTAAATTTAGTTGTAAAAATATGTATTTCATTTTTTTTATCTGAAGTATTTACTATTTTTACTTTTAAATTATTCAAAATAATTATTTTTAAGAATAATAAATATTTTGTTTTAACACAAAACTTTTGTTGTCTTCAACATTGTACATTTTAAAAATGCTACTTTGTTTAATTTAACTTTGTATTTAAGAAAATTAATGTTTTATTATAAATCAAAATTCTACAAACAATTTAACAAAGTTCACAAAATATATATGAAGAATTTTGTAATGAATTGTTGATTCATAAATTAAGAAAGCTTATAAAATCTAAAGAATTTTACATTGTAACTTTACTTCATAGGATTAAAAAGAAAAATGATTTTTAATTTTCCAGAGAAGTTTTTGCAAAATTTAACTGAGTATGTAGAACTCAAGAAAATTAATTTACTATTCTCAAGAAGATTTTTTCTAGAAATTAATCGAGTATAATTTCAGAAATTATTTTATAAATATTTAATAAATAAATAAATAAAATCCATAAAATATAAAAAAATTTGCATTGTAGAATTTAACTGTCTTGTGTTTAAGAAAATTAATTTTCTATTATAAAGTAAAATTTTCGTAGTATTTTATATTAAAGAGTTTAATTGAAAAGTAAATTTTTAAAATCTGATAAATCCATTTTTCAAAAAAATTGAGATAACCACAAATTTAATTAGAAACCAAACATCTTAAATACAAATAACATTCATATATGTGTATATATAATTTATCTTAATTTTTCTATCTTAATTTTAATTTTAGTGGTTAAGAGAGAAATGTCATTTGTTTCTCAAAATGACAAAAAATAGATTTATTAGCTTTTGAAAACTTGCTTCCCAATTATGCAAGGTTTAGCAAAATTAATTTTCTATTATAAAATAAATTGTATATCGTTAAACAATATAAAATCTTTTATTTATTTAGTTTATTATGTTAAATTGTAATTTAAAAAAAGTTAAATTGTATATGTTAAACGATATAAAATCTTTTAACTAAAAACTGTTTCGATGTAAGAATTTTCTTTTATTATATATTTCCCTTCTAATTTTCAAATATGTTAATATTATTTTGCCAGACAAATTTTTAAATTAATTAGTAATAAATAAGTAGTATAGTACACTTACCTTGAAGTAATTGTCGCTTAGCCAACTCAACTAAATGTTTCCCTCGTTCCATACTTTAAGCAAGGTTGTAGTAAATACTGACAGCACAATATGCACAAGAAGACTAATTTCATCACAAATGAGCTCTGTCAAAGGTAGCTAAAACTTTGTTTGGAAGATATAAAATAAGAGGTGGGAGACTACCGATAACTATTTGGGTTAAATCAAATGATCTTATAGTTTTTAAATTGTAAAAAAACTCGGAAGCATTCATCTCTAATTGTAACTATTACAATTAATCAAATAATGTATTTTACTAATATTATGATAAATTATTCAACTATTTAAACAGTTTCTAATTACTAATTTATAACATTTTCAAATGTATATAAATAGCAGCTAAATTTTAAAACTTTTTAACCTTTCTAGGCGTACTACGTTTTATTAAATCAATAAATTAAATAAGATATTAAGTTAAATTTGTTACAAGAATTTTTCAACATTGTTTAAACAGGTAATTGTTATTTAATAACTTTTTCAAATTTCACCTAGAAAGATGCAATTTTTTTTCTAATTTTTCATTTTATTAAACCCTCCATAATTAAGAATAAAGATTTTTCAAAAATTTTTATTCCAACAATTTTTTAAACAAATTATTATTGTTTTTTAATAGGGTAATGTCACATTGAGTGGACCGCCACTTTGAGTGGACCACCTGAGCTTTTAAGTTATCTGACAGCGGAAACATGAAATAAATAAAACGAATAGCAGCACTGCACCTAGAAACCGTAATAAATGAAGTTCCGCGATAAACATGTACGTTATTGTTTGATGTAACGCATTTTTAAGAATGCAAACCAAAAAAGAAGTCGCTCTTACAATGAGTAAAGTGATTCAGAAGTGTAAAAGTAGTGTAAAATTTAAGTTTTAAAAGGTAACTTATTTTTTTCCTACTACTTTGGACATTGAAATTGATTGTCTTAGTTTAATTAAGTAATAATTTTGACTAAAAAAAAATTGTGGTGGCTGCCATAAAAAGTTGTATTTCCCTATGAGTGGACCACTGTTTATAACCATGAGAGGACTGCCTGTTTTTTATATTTTTAATGTCAGTTTACCATTTTTAAGGAAATAAATTGACAATAAATTGGTTTGAAACTATGTTTAATGTTCTTTATTAATTTTTTTGTGATATTGATGTAATATGTGCCAAAATTATTAAAAGTGGTTTCACTTGTAAACATTGCGACACAATCATGGTCTGAAGCTGCATAAGCATAAATTTTGTTTTAATATATCAGAAATATTAAATAAATTGAAGAAAATAGAATAACTTTTACAATTTTTTAGGAGTGGTCCACTCAAGGTTACACTTTTTTCATTCCTTAAAAATTAGCTATTTTTTTAAAGTCAATTGTTTTTTCCAAATAAAAATAAAACAAAGCTTTATGGTGTAAACACTTACCTAGGAATCTAAACTAAAGCATGGAATAGAAACCTCCGATTAATTTGCTTTCATAAAGAATTTTTTCGAAAAAAAGCTTAGGCGGTCCACTCAAGGTGACATTACCCTAATTTTTTACAAATTGCACTAGAATATTTTTTAGTACGTATTATTTAAACAAATTATTGTTGTTATTTAACAACTTTTCCACATTTTACCTAGAAACTTTTTCATAGTTTTTCCTTTACTTTTTAAATTGAAAAGCCATTTAAAATTACGGATAAAAAAGAAATAAAATAATTATTTCAATTATTTTTTAAATATGTTAATATTATTATTAAAAAATTATTTAAACAATAGATTCTTAAAAACCTTTAACCTTAATTATAGAAGGTTTAATAAATTGTAAAATTAGAAAATAACTATCTTTCTAGGTTAAATGTGTGAAAAGTTGTTAAATCTGTTATTTCAATTTGTTTAAAAAACTTTTTTAATGATAATTTCTTTAAAAAAATTATCCGTAATCATAAAAAATCCAATAAAATGCAAAATTAGAAAAAACTGCATCTTTTTAGGCAAAATGTGTAAAAAGTTGTTAAATAACAACTATTATTTGTTTAAATAATCTTAAATGATTTTTTTGAAACTTTATAGAAATCTGCTTTCTCTCTCTCTCTTTTAAAAATTTTCTAAATTAACTATAATAAATTGTTCACAGAATTATGGAATTTATCGTAACATTAGAAAAATTCATTCTTTCTCTACTTCTAACAAAAAGAGTTAAAAAGTTTGAGGACTCTTAGTCATTATTGCTTTATAGAACTAAAAAAACATTTTTTATCCCACATGCACAAAAATGGCGCTTTTAGATAGCTGACGATAGGGAGTAAAGTCACTCATTTGTTCGACCGTATAAAAATGGCGACCTTTTTTTCCCAAGGGCAAAAAAACAGCTGGTCCCATGCTTTTTTTTGCCCAAGGTAAAAAAATGTCGCCATTTTCAAACAAATCGAACAAGTGAATAACTTTTACTCCCTGTCGTCTGCTATCTGAAATCGACACTTTTGTGCATTAAGAATAAAAAATATCGTAAGTAACGTGGGAATAAAGGCAGCCAATTTGTTTACGATGATTTTTGTGAAACTCGTTCCGGTCTCGGGGCGCCTACGGCGCCCTCGACCTCCACTCGTGTCACAAAAATCACCGTAAACAAATGGCTGCCTTTATACCCTTGTTGCTTAATATACTATTGGCTCTCCGGAATGGCCAGCAGGGAATTCACGTATACAAAAAACATTAAGTGACATAAAGGTTAAATTCTCAGGTCTTGCGATAAATTGATCAAATCCATATTCAGAATCAAATAGTTTATGTTTTGGTTAGTTTTGACAACTAATAATAAATATTAAACATAAGAAATAATGTCATGTATTTCCAAAATTTTATGAATGAAAACATTCTATAAAATTAAAATTTACACTATAATTTGTCTACGTTCACATGTAATGGGAACACTTTTTTGATTTCAATGAAATTTACTTTTGTGTGACCGTAGATGCGAATATCACTCATATTGAAATCGACAAGTGTGATCGATAAAGTGATCCCTTTTCTTGCGGACATGGTTAATGATCTCAAAAAATGTTTAAGTTTCTCAGATTTAAAATTACATTTTTAAGAAATATGTGAGAAACTATCCTTAAGTGAATGTAAATTGCCAAAAAAACTATGTTTTTTTCTTTACACATTCCAATATGTGTTGCACTAATTAACATTAAATAATATTAGAATTATTCGATATAATAGAATATTTATCTATAAGAATTATATTACAATTTAGAACAAGGTGAGAATTGTGTTCGAAATAATTCCAAATAATAATTCTGTTTCTCAACAAAGTTTTTGATTTTTTTAGCCAAACAAGATCACTGTTCCTAAATTTAAATATACGTGTTTCGACATAAATGCAGAACGAAAAATTTTTAATTACTTTTTAAGTTCAAATTTTATAGGGGAGAGGGCCCTAAGGTGGTCACCCATCTTTTGAACGACTGTAGATTTCAAATGGAATTATATATAAAGGTCAATAATACGGCGTTTGAAACTTTATCTTATTACCTAACTTCCTATCATAAAGTTTTTTTTATTTCATTAATAAAAAAAAAGTTATGGCATTTTTTAAAAAAAGTTGAAAATTCGACTTTTAAAAAAGTGGCCCCAAGGTGGTCACCATACAAAAATTCACTAAAAAAGTTTTAAAAAAATGTAAAAAACGTATTACTAAGTTGTTTATTTAATATTAATTGTTTTTCAGGATCACAGAAACATATTACATATTTTTTTTGCACTTTGTCCTTTCGTCAAAAATGATACTTTTTGTGTATGTATTAGATAGGTAAAATTTTGAAAATAATTCTATTTTATTATTATTCATCATAAAACTTAAAAATTGATAAAATTCACATTCACAGTGATAAATGTTGATAAATATGGCGTATAAACATATTTTCATAAAAAATCAAAAGTGACCACCTTGTGGACAAAAAAGTGTCCACCTTAGGGCCAAGACAGAATTTTTTAAACGTTAATGAAAAAATTGTTTAAAGCACAATATTAATTATATTCATTTGGAATATATTATATATATTATATATATTGTACGATATATAAAGATAATTATAACGATTTTTACTAATTTAAAATGGTTAATTTCGATGATTTTAACACCCTGAGAAAAAAAATTCTCGATCATTTAAAAACAGAAATTTTACGACGTTCACGTTACAAAGAGACTCATACGACTATTTACCTCAAAACTTTACTAAAATCTTTGTCTTCTCAAATAATAACAATAACAAAAAACATTTGAAGATACTAACTAATATACAAAAATTTTCTTAGGGTGACCACCTTAGGGCCCTGACCACCTTGGGGCCCTCTCCCCTATACTAAAATATTGCTTTACGAATAACATAATAATTAGTAGCTAATTCTTCTTAGCCTATATAGATTCAAATTTGAAAGCAGTATCTGAAACGCAATTGGCTTTAAATCTGGCAACGTCGCGGGCTTGGTAACGTCGAAGAAACGTATAAATTATATACAAATGGATCTGGCATGATCGTTTCGTATAGTGGGCCTTAAATTTAAAATTTTGTTATAATTTGGAAATCGTCTGTAATCGAATAAAAGGCAAAATTAGAAATTGGTTATATTGGATAAAAGCAAAGCTGAAAATTGTTTAAATTGGATGAAAGGAAAAATTGGAAATTGATTATATTGGATAAAAACAAAACTAGAAATTTGTTAAATTGGACAAAAAGGCAAAATTGAAAATTGGTTATATTGGATAAAAAAGCTGGAAATTGGTTAAATTGATAAAAGGCAAAATTGGAAATTAGTTATATTAAATAAAAGGCAAAATTAGAAATTGGTTAACTTGAAAATTGGTTCTAATTGATAAAAACCATTTGGAAAAATTATTGGAAAAATTGGAAATTGGTTATATTAGATAAAAACAAATCTGAAAATTGGTTAAATTGGATAAAATGAAAAATTGAAAATTGGTTACAATGGATAAAAAGCTGGAAATCGGTTAAATTGCATAAAAGGCGAAATTGAAAATTGGTTATATTGGATAAAAGGCAAAATTAAAAATTGGTTAACTTAGAAGTTGGTTGTATTGGATAAAAACAAATATGAAAAATTAGGAGTTCGATTTGAGCCGTTGAGGTGAATGGTCGTGTTTTTGTTTGTTCCGATTCATATAATTTATATTCGCACATTGTGTTTTGGAGTCTTAACTGATTTTATTTTTTCGTATTTTTTAATGAGGTCGCCGTGAGTCTTGACATTTTAGTTTCTGTGTTTCTTTTTTGCGGGCATTCTTTTTGTCTGGTGAATTGTGTAATTTGTGGTGCAAGTTTTAATTGTTGAGTGTTAATTTTGTTGTTCATTGACCATTGATGACTGTACGCTATTGTTTCCCCATTCGTATTTTGAAATGTCGAAAGA